CTGATATTTTTTATGAGTTGTCTATTATGTTGTGGAACTGCGAACAAAGTAGTACTATGAGCAATAAAACAAGGCTACTTAAACTCTTGGAAATGTGAAAGGTCAGCAAAAAGCAGCTTTCCATTTTTTCTATTTTTGTTTCCGCTATTTCCCGCTCTTTTTGATCAAACTTTCCGCTTTTCTGACCTGATGAGGTGGCAACCCTGATCCTGGTGCAGCAGGATCATACAATTGAATAAAATTTATAGAATTCAATGCTCCACAGTACGACCACATAAGTTCAACGTTTGACTTTGTTGGAACGCATAATTGATTATCATTCCATCGACTGTCTGCAGGCTCCGCAGTAGCCACACACTTTAGATCACGGCGACATGCACGATTGTCCCATATCCAATGTAAATCGATGTCACGATTAGTACACAGATAATTGTCGTGCCAAGATGCTGTAGTTTCAAACATTTTAACACACCACCAACCAGAAATATACGATAGGGATGTGAACCGAAATTCGAGTGGTCTAGGATTGCCTTTTAATGGATCTATTGATATTGTGCGTTGAGTTTCATTCGTTTGTAAATGGTTAAACTTTACTACAGCTACGCTGATCCCGTGTGCAACTGAATCCGAAGTCATGCTATACGTTGCTTGTAAGAGAGTCATACATACAAGAGAAAGTATTAACGCCATTTTATATTGCAAATTTTCTGATTGAATGCTTTTATAAAACGAACATATATGAACGAAAACTTTCCTTTTTATACGTTCGTTTTACTCTGTTGAATATAATCCTTGTTTTCACCAGGAAGTGAAAAACGAGCTGGTTTTGCAAATCTCTTGTTTGACCATCCTGATACCTATCAGCAGCTAGATCAATATTATTTCAATGATATCAATATTGATTGTATTTTATCAATTTACAAGTTCTAATACGTCTGGAGATTTGTTAGTTTATCCTCCTTATCATCATCCAAATCTTTCTTTCTCAAACAAAGGATCAATGCAAGTTCACCTACTTGACAATTGCCATTCATTGATAAAATCACATTTAAGCTATTATATTGATTATGGTTCTATGTAAAGTCATCAATGTTTTTGTTCTCTCTTTTATCCAGTGCATATCAACTTCAGACTTCATTAGCCAACATATTTCTTGAGTTTGGATGTAATTAAGAAGCGAATACAACTACACTCATAACCTCAATATTGTACGAAAGCTAATAATTTGTTGAATCTTTGCCATTTTTTTGACAATCAGATTAAATTTGTAGAAACCAAAATAGCGGCTCTATTATAGAAATGCTCTCGTGATCTTGATTATATCTCAGAATGAGAATATTGAATAAAAAAGTGAGTGAAAGAACTCATGACATAAGACCAGAATTATAATTAATAGGCTCAAGTGCAAAAATAGAATCGTGATTATAAGGCACAAAATTCAAAATATAATGATGTAGGATATATATAGCATAAAAATGATAATGATCCGTGTGCACTTTCGCCTCTTACTATAAAATAAAAGCAAGATGGTTTATTTTGGTTTGAGCGAATGTTTTTTTATCCATTGCTCTAGGTTTGAACAAAAATTTGTTCTTCAAATCAATTATTTGCCTGATAGATTCACACAAAAAATGAAAATCGTTTTTCTCTTGTCATGAAATTAATATTCGATTATTTCCTCATACTAAAGAATTCTTACTACTTTCATCAGAAGTGTTTTCTTTTATTTAAGTTTCATTAACGCATCGGTATATAGATCGAATAGACAATGAACTGAACTTGAGCGTTTTGCAATTGTCATAGCTGTTTCGTTTAATTTATTTTGAATGTTTACATTAATAAATGGATGCATAAGGAGTAATTGTATTATTTGACGATTATTACTTTGTGATGCAGCTAAATGTAACGGTGTTTGCCCACCATTTGTTTGAGCATTTATATCGATACCGTTTTGTATAAGCAATGATCCGATTTCATAATTATTCCAAAATGCTGCACAATGCAAAGGATTCCATTTATCAATTGTTAATGCATGAATGTCTGCGCCCGATTCAAGTAAATATTGGCAAATTTCCAAATGATTACCACTAGCTGAACGATGCAATGCTGTATAGCCATCGTTATCACAAGCATGAAGAAGTGATTTGTCTTGATTAATATATTCTTGAACACGTAAAAGATCACCGTCTTCAACAGCTGTCAGAAGGCCTTTAACTGGATCTTCGCTTATTTCTTGTTTTGACCAATGCTCAATATCATTTTCATCTTGTTCCCAAAAACTTTGCCATTTCGATGGTTCACCATTTTTCTTTTGAATAATTTCATCGAAGACAACTGTATTCAATTTATTTATATATTGCAACCGTTCATCGTCATCCATACCTAGCAATACTTTTAGTTTCATCTTCATTGTTCAAGAAGAATCAAGTAAATAGAGTTAAAGTAGAATATTTTCCCATAAGCGCTAATGCTTCAGTTTTTCATTAAGATAAGTGGGAACCTCTGTTTGCTTCGAGCATTAAAATTCAATGGAAAAAAAAAGACCGTTAACGCATTTTCTTTCTCTAGTGACTAGCGTGACCAACTTTTACGTGCTCAAGTTCATCGTGACCGAGAATCTAGGAAATTAGTTTTAGGTCGGTATGATCTTTTTTTTCTAAACCAAACCGATAAGAATGCACTCAAGTGAAAAAGAAGAAAACACGATTTATCTAATCAAGCAGATAATGGACGAGACAGTTGCAACCATCCAGAATTTTATGTAATTAGTCTCTGGCAAAAAATGTATTCTTGTTAACCACTCGAAACACAGAGTGAAAGTATACATATTCAAGTTCTAGATTTGCATCGTTCATAAAGAAGGAAGCTATTATACCTGCCATTTCCGTGTGCAATTTCTTATCCATAGCATCGCATTGTCGATCATTAGTCATCTTGAAATAAAAATCAATATAGATTTTTGTTTTGAGCGCGCGTGTTCGGTAATACAAATTTTTATTTTTAAATAATTTAGAAATTTTCCTGGTACTTCTCCAGATCAATAAAACCCTGATTCCAGTGGTTTTGTTAATTAAAAGAAATTAAAAAACAATCATTCGTTCATCTCGCTAAATCAATAAAAAATAAATCGATAAGACTATAAAATGTAGCGTACATTTCTAGAGTGTATCCGGAGAAGTACCATTTTTCTCAACAATTACAATAGACAATAAAATGAAGTACGTAGGAAATGTGTGTTATCAGACAAGAAGAAAAAAAACGAGAGAGAGAGAAACAATAAGCAAAAAAGTGTTTTTATACAATAATTAACGAGGAAGAAAATCACGATAACATTTCAAAACACAAAAGAGCATATTTTCATAGATTAAAAACCCACCGACAAACATGACAACGGACGGTTGTTGCCTTCGGAGAATGTGTATGTATATACCTAGATGTATCATCTGACAAGAGAAAACAAATATTTCATAGGCACTTTTATTTATGCTATTGTACATCTTTCACAGCACCCAGCTGTTGCTGGATTGGGACTAGCAGTGTCTGATCGATGTGATGATAGTGCATTTGGTGAATGATCAGCTGTTCGGTCTTGATTATTTTCATGCTTATATTTTCGTTTGTGATCGCCATCGGCTGGCTCAGGGAGATTTTCACGTGGAACAAGGTGCATCACAATTGTTTTGCCTTGTTGAAAACGTAAAGCTCCTAGTGTAACATTCCCATGTAAAAATCTTCCTTGATATATTAATCTTAATACGTCATAACGATCCACTCGTTCTTCATCACCCCAATCTAATTTATAATTAGAATTTTAGAGAAAATTTTGGTCAATTATTTTACTTTCAGGCCATTTTTCGAACACATATTTAGCTACATCGGATGCTGTTGTCATTGCTCGAAATTGAAATTCAGCTGTTTTGCCACTGACCAGAATTAATTTCAGATTAATCTTAGATAAAAAAAAAAAGAAGAGTAAAAATATCAGATAGAAATCGACCCTTTTATTTTTCTCTACTTACGACATCGGACGGTGAGGATTTTGATCCCATTGACAAAAGAAAAAGATCATCACGTCTGATAAACCATTATTAGTTTGAATGACAACGCTTTAGATGAATCATAAACAATAAACATCTCGATAATTCAATATACTCATGCCTATGTCGCTACTATCGACGTCAATGAAAAAATTTAAAGAATATATTTTATTATCGTATGTAAATTGTTTTATTTTTATTCAATAATAAATCTAAATTTATTTTAAATAAAATTTACTAATTGGCGCAATACATGCACCAATCAGAAGCGAGTAAAAGAATATCCGTTTTTGTGGAATGAAATTTTACTTCATTTACTATTTGTTTGATTATGAAATTAACACAGAAGACACTTTTTCAATGTTTTGATAAATCTGAACGACAATCAACAGTAAACTCAAATGATTCTGATGAAGGTATGATAATAAATTACGGAATTTGATAGTCTGAATTTTTCGGATCAATATAAAAAACTCAATTTTCTATTAGATATAATCGAATGTGAACCTGAAATCAAGTTATCTGATAAACGATCAAATAATCACGTTCCTCGATCGGATTTTCTCATACCTGTTCATGTACGGCAAGAAGACAACCTTTCAAAAGATGAATGTGTCTCATCTTTGCTTAATTCATGGAAACTAATTGATTCAAATGATGATCTACTATCGAAACATTCTCAAGATTTTTATCGCATGTGTCCTACAAGCAGCAATAGTAATGAAACTAACTCACCAAAACTTCAGGTATACTATTCCACTAATCTTAAACTCAATAATCGAATATCTTTCCTATTCAAGTTTATTCAAATTTCATCTATTGAACGTCAAATGGAATTATTGGAAGAATATATAAAAGATGATGAATCCAGTTGTTATGTTCAATCAAATATCAATTGGCGAGTAATGTTTCAATGTCTGCAAGAGTATCGAAAGAAAGCGATAGAACAAAGTAAATTCTATAAAAATGAAATTCTTCGTAACTTGAAGAAAACCAAATTTCTTCATTGGCAGATCAGTACGAACAATTACCTTGGACAGAAATTTATCGCCCTCGAAATTCAAAAGCTTATCTTGGAAATCATACAAAACAAATTCGTCGTTTAAATGAATGGTTTTTCCATTGGGCGAACAAATTACGCAACCATCCATCGAAGAAAATCACACGAAAAGGACGAAAACGAACTAGAGATTATGATGATAACTCGGATGAAGATTTCATCAATGAATCTAGTAAGTCCGACGAAACAAATGATCTCCACTATTGCATCTCATATTCTTATTTAGATATGATTTACCATGATCGCTGTCAAATCAAACAAGAATATCCACAGATAATTTTTATTCATGGTTGTGGAACAACATCACTTGTACATGCACTCGCGGAACAACATAATTTTAAAGTATGCCTATCAATACAACCGTTCGTTTTTTAACCTACCGGAATCAGCAATAATTTTTCATCGAGTATTTCTTCTAAATACAAACAAATATCGTTTTAGGTGACAGAAATCAATGGAACTCAATCGCGCGCACGTACATCCCTAATAAAACAATTAGAACAAGTCACCAGTCAACATTGCTTATCATTAAAACGTTGTTCTTCAGATACGATAATTCCAAAAGGTGAAACAAAACGCGCCATTTGATGATTTTAATATGTGAAATTCTTTTGCTAGAAGACAAATTCAGAGCGAGTATTCCATTGCCTGTAAAGAAAAAAGCGAAACATGAACGCGGTACAATTATGTCGTTTTTTAATACTAAGAAAGCGGAGAATAATGATGATCACAAAGAAAATAAATCTCGCAATCGATCGAAATCTACGAAAAAATCAAAACAAAGTAAAATAAAAGAGGACGAACAAAAATCTATGCCAACAAATTTAGTATCATCGGTTCAAGTTGAAAAAACATCTCTCATACTCTTCGATGAGGTCTGATAGTTTTATTTTGAAAGTGTAAAACAATTTTCATGAGTTTTCTCCAGATTGAAACATTAACAACCGACGATAATTTTTGGTCGTGTTTAAAAAAGATTCTTGAAACAGCCAAAAAACCAATTATACTCACATCCAATAGTAGAAGTAATCCAGATGATGCAATATTTAATCTATCGAAAATTGGCGACTACGAAATGGTTCATCTCGAAACAAATGAACTCGTAAGTAGATTTTATTTTGTAAAAAAGAAGTATTGAAAGTTGTGATATGCGACTTGAGAGTGTGAGATGAAAAAAAAATTCTCTTTTATTTCGAATAGAAACTCACCTATTGTTTTCTTCGATTAATACTTTTGGTTGAAATGCTCGAAGTCCCTTCATTCGATGAACTGATATCACTTTGCCAATCATGTTCGTATGACTTACGCCGATGTTTATTAACATTACAATTTCTTGCTCAATCGTCTACGATAGAAAACACTTCGATAGAAAAAACTGCAATTAACAACACCAAACCAAAACTTCAATCGTCACATGTATTTGATACAATGCATTATTCTTATCTCGGTGAACAATGGAACGAACCGATGCTTAAGACATATTTTGATGATCTCACAACAAAATATACGTCTGAATATGAACAATATCATAAATTATTAGCAAATCAGAATAAAAATGATTCGAAACGGTAAGCAGTTGTTTTTTCTACATAAGTAAAATCTTTAATGTTGTTTTTTTAAATTTTAGAATCGAATTGTACGATACATTTAGACTTTTTATGCAAGAACAAGAGCTTGATAACATCACTGATCGTTCGGCGCTTTATCTTGATTATCGGCCTTATATTAGACAAATTTGTCAAAGTGAACAAATTCGAGCAAGTGAATCGTACTCCAGAGGACGGTACATATTTGTTAGATATGTTTTGAAAAAGATTCTATGAATGTTTTTCTTTCCATTTTAGTCTTCGACATGGTCTTGGGTTTCGCGGCTGTTCCTTGCAATGGTCTGACTTTGCGATTCTGTCTGGTGGTCTTGATTAATACGGGTGTATTTTTCAACGATTATTATTTATGTGTATATTTTTCTTTTTTTCTGTCTTGTAAATTATGACACTGTCAGATAGATTGTTTGGTTCGATTTATAAGCAGAAGTTCTCAAATATGATTAATGTTTATTAAATTTCTCTTATTTTTTTCTAGATTATTTACATAAAATCATGGCTTTCTTCCCAGGTAAGTTTTCCAATGTTATTTTGAAGAATTAATATCGATTTTATTTTAGGAGCAACAAAAGATCAGATGCGTGCTGATCAATTATTGAAACGACGTCAACAAGAACATGAACAAATGGAAATGAAGAAGAAAAAAATTGAAGAAGAAAATCGCATGCAAGCAATTGAAGAAAAATTCAAGGCTCATTACGATGCTGTTGAACAAATGCTCAAAACAGATACAGTTGGCTTGGTTTCATTGGATGAAATGAAGAAGAAACAAGAGGAAATGATTAGCGCACGTGAACAGCAATTAGCAAGAGAAAAAGAAGCTAAATTAAGTGAATCAATGAGAAATAAACTAAATAATCGGAAGGATTTGGGTGCACATCAACGACCTAATAAATTATCATTTGCTGATGAATGGGACGAAGAAGAAGAAGAACACGATAATAATGAGCCAACTATAACAAAACAACCAATCAAAAATGAAGAGGTAAATCGTCAAAAGTCTCATAGAATAAATTAATTTATAAGTGTCACAGTTGAGGAATTAGAGTCTACATAATGTTGAAATCACTCGAAGCTTTCTACGCGCATTTCAAATGTGATTTATAGTAATTTACATAAAAAGTTCGCTTCGTTTCTAGCCAATCATCAGCGATGATAATTCACTATCAAATGATGGACCGAAAACCGAAGATGCTGATAGTAATGATAGTATAATAGAGCAGGGTCCATCGGCTGCTGAACTTGATCGTCTTGTTGCCGCAAGCAGAAAAAAGCGTCTTGGAAAAAATCCAGGTAAGAAGAAAATAAAAGTAAATCGTTCGTTCTGTATATTTAAATTGCATATTTATTATCTTTTTTAGATGTTGACACAAGTTTCTTGCCAGATAGAGATCGTGAAGAAGAAGAGCGAATATTACGTGAAAAACTTCGTCAAGAATGGGTTGAAAAGCAACAAAAATTAAAAAATGAAGAAGTCGATCTGGTATTCAGTTATTGGGATGGTTCAGGACATCGTCGATCTATTCGAGTTAAAAAGCGCATGACAATACAAATGTTTCTTACAAAAGCACTTGAAATTCTTCGCCGTGAAAATATCTTTAATGAATTAAAATCAGTGTCAGTCGATCAACTTATATTCGTCAAAGACGATGTTATTCTTCCACATCATTATTCATTTTATGATTTTATTGTAACACGTGCACGTGGTCGTACCGGACTCTTGTTCACGTTTACCGAACCACTGAAACCAAATGCTATTGTCGAAGTACCAGCAACAGCGACAACAAGCACGGGAACAAACGTTATTGAGCCACCATCATCACCCACAGCAGCAGCAGCAACAACGAATGAGATTACATCAGCAGGACAAGCAATATCTCACGCAGGAAAGATTTGCTTACGGGCATGGTATGAACGGAATAAACATATTTTCCCGTCATGTCGCTGGGAACCATTTGATCCTGAAAAACGTTGGAATGCACATGAACAACCGAAAAATCGTTTTTGTATAAAATAATGTTCACTTTTGTTTTTCATGTATTAATATAATTGATTATATTTTACTGTTAATATAAAAAAAGAGACAAAAAGCAATATCGAAATAGTTTGAAATATTTTGTTTATTTTATTTGTTTCGATGAGTACATATCTTCTGTGTCTGGTGCTATTATTGGTTTGCGATTTGCAAATGTCTTCTACGACACAAACGGCAGCTTCGCCAATCGTTGTTAATACATGGCCATTTATAAATGCGACACGAAATGCTTTTGCTACATTGTTAACACCCGGCGCAACCTGTTTAGATGCTGTTGAAGTCGGCTGTCGAACATGTGAAGATGAACAATGTGATGGTAGTGTAGGATGGGGGAGTCATCCGGATGAAAATGGAGAAACTACTTTGGATGCTCTTATTATGGATGGGAGTACGATGAGTGTTGGTGCTGTTGCAAAGTACGGCAATGTTTTTGTTTTCTTAAATTAGAAAAAGAAGAATTTCATTCATTTAAGTTTTTCACAAACTTTTGTCAGAATTATTATAATCACGGTAGATTATTAAAATTAATTGTTTGTTGTTAATTTCAGTTTACATCGTATCAAAAATGCCATTGGTGTAGCTCGTGCTGTTTTACGGTATTCAACACATTCTCTATTAGTCGGCGAAAGCGCCACTAAATTCGCCATTGACATGGGCTTCAAAGAAGAAGACCTTCATAGTAATGCATCAATTGAAGCATGGAATAAGTGGAAAAGTTCAAATTGTCAACCGAACTATCGACGTAATGTACAACCAGATCCAACTACAAGTTGTGGACCGTATACACCTAAATTTGAAGCTGGAAAAATCTACACTTATACTGGTATAGTAGTGTTGCATTTTGGTTTTGAAAGAAATATGTGAAATAATTAAGTTGCAGTTAGATTGAATAAGAGAATACCGAAAGCAGATAATTAGCAAGTACTATTGCATTATATTGTATATCTTCATGTTTATAGATGAAGAAATTCCATCACATCGTCCATTACCAGACGGAGAGCATGATACCATTGGTATGCTTGCTGTAGATCCCAATGGTAATATGGCAGCAGGTGCTTCAACAAATGGTCTTCAATTTAAAATTCCAGGTCGTGTTGCTGATTCAGCATTGATCGGCAGTGGTGCTTATGTTGATAATGAAGTTGGTGGCGCATGTGCTACAGGTGATGGGGATGTCATGCAACGGTTTGTTCCTTCTTATCATGTTGTGCAATTAATGCGACAAGGTACTGCACCTGATGAAGCATGTTCAGATGCCATAGCACGTATTGCTAAATTCTATCCAAATTTTACCGGTGCTGTATTAGCACTCGGTAAAGATGGACGACATGGCGCAGCTTGCCATGGTATGAACTCATTTCCATACTCTGTGATGCAGCAAGGCTGGAAAGATCCACAAATCGTACAAATTCCTTGTCTTAAACTATGATTGGCTGTTCACTTTTTTTCTTTTGATTTTATAAGCGATTATTAATGATAGAAACATAAGTAATTCGTTCAATTTCATAATTTGTTTTGCTTCCAGATAAAATGAATAATATTCAACAACCTCTAAAAATTTGTTTGAAATGTTATGAAAAACTATTTTTACGATGCATAAATATCAGTGTAGAAAATTCTAAAAAAGGACCAGTGCCAACTGTAAGTTTTGTTGGTGATCGTGCACGTCTCTATCCATCGATTTATTGTTGGGGCTATATTGGTACAGGAGCGCTGGGTGTTTTTGATTTTGTTAACAAACAGCCTAATCCAAAACATACGGATGCATCACAACAAACTCGTCTTCGTCGTTCCATTCCTTATCGACATCCATTTTCTTACGAACATCAAATAAAAATCAATCGTATAGCATGTGGCAATGGTTTTACATTATTTTCATCGAATACATTAAAATATGACAAACTGTGGGGATGTGGCCTTAATACCGATAGTCAACTGACATTCTTTAAAGATCGTAATCATCCAAAAGGTTTTGGCGATTATGTTATTGTACCAAAAATTATTCATTTACCTATCAAACACCCACGATCAACAAGAATCACACAAATAGCAGCTGGCAGAGCGCATTCAATTGTTTTAACAGATAATTCAGGTAGACCAAATAAACAAATAGAGATTTAGATGTAACACTATTGACATAAATCCTTATTCGCGTCAAGTTTTGATATAGCTAAATATGAACAGACTTTGTTCGCTTCCTATAATTAATAAGACAGAACAAAAAGAAGGTAAAACGCACACAGTAACTTTATCAGGCGATGTCAATTAGGCTCAGGTTTACTAGACGTTTGAATCGTACTCTGTGTCTTATCGATCTCAGTTTGTGGACATGTGAACGATGATGGTTTCTCTGAAGGTTACCTCGTCAGTCGGCATTCATATTTTTAACTTATGGAAATCCTAGAAAAAAAAACAGATATTTATCATAGAATGCAGAAATTCTAAAACAAGGGAAAATAATAGAGGGTTTTAAAAAAACGTCTGGAGCAACTATTAATTATTCTACTCGTAGGCTTCGTTATGAATAAGAAGATATTTTCTCCTGTGTTATTATCTATATAATATTAAGAAAATCCTTTTGTCGATTTTATTTTTCAGAATTGTGACTCTATCCTCCTCATAGGAATCAATTGTGGGAGATCTATTTACCAACGGCTATTAGCTTCAGTGACTCATTTCATCTTCATATATTTCGAAAAGCGGTTTATTTCCCTGGAAAATTCCTATTGAAAACAATCTCACTCTGTGTTTCAGGTCTCTTCTCATTTGGTAATAATTCATTTGGTCAATGTGCTCGTCAAATCGTATCTGATGAAATTTACAAGAACAGTATGTTAATTCATTCGTTTAATATTGATTTAAATGATAATGATGATAAAATTATTGATATTATTTGTGGTCAAGATCATACTTTATTTCTCAGTGAGAAAGGTCGTGTTTACGCTTGTGGTTTAAATACGGATGGACAATTAGGTGTCGGCCATTACGAATGTGTATCAAGACCGGAACGTGTACGTGGAGATATTGAAAATGAACATATTGTACAGTTAGCATCGAAAGGCGATTCGATATTAGCCTTAAACAAAGCCGGAGACCTATTTGGTTGGGGTAATAATGAATATCGTCAATTAGGAATTTCGGATGATCCAGTAGATTCACCAAAATCATTTCAATGTGCTAAACCAAGACATCTAAATTTTCGTGATGGATCTTCGTTGAAAAATATTAAATCTATTGCTTCGGGTGGTTCATTATGTTCAGCTGTCGATCAACAAGGTAAATTATATATGTGGGGCTTTGGTTTACTTGGCTTTGGCCCAAAACATACTACTATTGACATCCCACAGGAAATACCTTTGGAATTATTCGGATTAAATGAATTTAATCGTGATGTTAAAATCGATCATGTTACATGTGGCTTATTGAGTACAGCAGCAATAACAAACAATGGAGAATTGTTTATGTGGGGAAAAAATCGGTATGGATCGTTAGGTGTGGAATTCGATGAAGATTCCCCGATGCCAATGCGTGTTTTCGTACCTGCTCGTGTTACCTCGGTAGCACTTGGACCCGATCATACATTTGCTTTATGTAAAGGATACGTGTAGATTTTAATAAAACGATGAAATCTGTTATTCTCAAAGAAAATCTTTATTTTTGTGACGTAGAAAAAAACTCAAGTGACTTAGTGATAAGCATTCCATGGAAAATTGCTGAAATTATAACAGTGCACAGAAACAAAAAAAAATCATTTTCACGAGTCATTAATATCTCCGCTTACATCCACACAAATACGAGTCATTATTCATATAAATACATGATAAGATAGTGTACTTGCTGATGTTTTCTAATTGGGATGACTTTTTATTCATGTTTTTTGTTCCGAGACAATTCAGATAATTGATATCTTGAAAACTAAGTTGCAATGAGAATATCAATAAGCTTTTCTTTCGCTCATGATGCTCTCGAGAAATTTTGAAGTAGTTTCATTTTTGTAAAGATCTAGTACATGCATGAGTATTCTTCTAACCAAAATTCAGTATAATGATCCAAGAAAAAACTTACATAATTACAGAGAAATTTTTCTCAGAGACTTTAATCTTCTTATCGTTTTTTTTCTCTTAACAAGACGGCTATGTCATGGCATATCTAGTTTGACATGGTCTTTTAAATAAAATAAGATAAATGACTACAAGGAATTTCGAGTCGTGGCAAAATGAGATTATTACGACCCTGATTTATCAGTATGCTTGCATACAATTGTTTTAATAGTGTTTCCACTATAATCCAAATGTATTCTAAAATTTTCCTCTGATTTGAATGTACTCGTATAAATATAATTTTTTTATGAAATGAGAAATTAACAAAATAATGAATGTTATATCTCATGCGTGAAAACAAGACAACACGAGAATCACGATGGCGACATACAGTTTATTTTTACTATACATAATACACAAAACAGCTGTAACGTTTTTCCTGTAGAAAGGAATATTCATTATAATGTCATGCCTTGCTAATTTCCTTGTTTTTTGAATTGAAAACAAAAAACATTCGAGCGCGTTTTGTTAATGAAATCACAAGAAATAAGAAGAAAAGAACTTTAATCGTAGGTAAGTGTGTGTATTTATAAAGTCTTGAATCAAGAATTTACAGAGATTAGAATTGACAGTTACTTTAATAAACTTTTAAATTAAAAAAAATAATTTATAACATTTTCACTGAGTAAGGAGGTATTATAAGAAAAAATGAGAATTGTGTACTCTTCATTTATCACGTCAACATAATTTGATTCGTTGATTCGAGAATTAAGTAGGCGGAGAAAGAGCAGACGAACACCGAGTTTTTCTGTTTAAATACGTGCGCATGGGAATTGAATGGCTTGAACATTTATTAGTAGCACTAATCGTAAGTATGCACATGGAATTGATTAATCGATGCAAATCTTTGATACGTATTTTTTTTTGTTAATATCGGCACTCACTGAATTGCAGTATAATATAATTTGGTGGAATCGCAGGTGAAGACAAATATTTAACGCATGAATATAACACTGCGACGAAGATCATATTTCAATTTTCACGAAAATTGAAATGTGATATTCGTCGCAATGTTATATTCATGCATTAGTTAAGCAGTATAATAGAGCAGGGTTCATTTAACTTCAGATATATTGCAATATTTCTAGATAATAGTATCAGCGATTTCATAATTGACTTTTGTTTCTTATTAAAATGCTTCATTTGCTAATTTCATCCTAGAGCTTTACCATAAAGCAGTATCGAATTATGATAAATCTGAGTCGTATTCTCTTTCGCCTTGCCTTGATTATTCAATTTACGTTTTATCATATTTTTCTCAATAACCAATAGGCTAATCCTCATGACGTCGCCAGAATCAAGCGAAGATTCAAATTTCATCTAGTCAATATAAATGAAGAAATTTCGTATTCGTATTTTGACTGAGTATTAAGAGTAGACTTGGTAACGTGTTGCTATAATAAATATGTTAAACTGAATTTATGTAGACCATTTCTCAAAGTATTCCATCTGCAGCTATTTTATAATTTATCGTATAATTGAGCGCAAACACTTTCCTTGCATTAATGCCTGGTTCATAGGAATGTCGCCGCTCCAATGAAATATTTATCAGAGTAAACAGACCATAAATAGTTCTTTTCATTCATTTCTAGTTGTTCTCGTAATTTTATGAGCCGTCGCTTGCCATGGTAAAATTTTAGCAATTCTTTTGGATCTTTTCACTCTCTTTCTACTACCAGCTAAAGCAATCTTATTAATTATCATAATGATTTATTTCACAATAAGAAAATTCATCAAGTCCAATCTCTTATCTAGAATGATGAATAGGATTCACAAGCCTTGTTATTAAATAGTCCTCGAATTTTTTGTTTCTGCGATGCCTCATCAGTATTATATGATTATTTTTTATCATCAACATTTTCTTTCTTAGTAAAATGTTTTCTCTTATTTTCTTTCTTCCATTGGTTTCCTCCTACATACTTAATATAAAAAAGAAGAAACAATGTCAGGTTTACGTACTTCTCATTTATTCATGGATCATATAAAAATATTAACTTCTCTTTTTTTTCTTCTTCTTGTCTCTCTCTCTCTTCAGATATAGAAAACATTATCGATCCCATACAACATGATCGCCGTCTTAGCAGATATACGTTGTCTTTTCTTATTCATTGCTCTTGCTCAAACTGTATCTCTTTATAAAATTTATCCATTGGAAGATGAAGTAAGTTCAACAAAAAAAAATGTGTTTTTTCATTCTGATCCAAAAATGCTTTTTTTTCGTTTTCCAAGCATTTCGATCTATCAAGTTCATCTTTTAATGAAAAATTGGATGAAGTCCTACAAAATATTCCTCATGACTATGAAGATATGCTTATGAATGCAATCGAACATGGCAACATAGATGATGCTCCGGAATTGAAACATAAATCGAAACGTGCAATTTCAACTAGCGGAACAATACCATTGCTACAACAGCGCAATAGTCGACCACATTGGAATCCTTTAATAGCTGCCTATAAGCGCTGTGGTGAATTAGGATCGTCTGAAAGTCGTGAAAATTGCTTCAAAGATGCCGTTCAAATGCTTTTTGTGCATAAACTAAGAAAATAAAATGAAAAAAAAAGAGTAGCAGAAGAATTTATTTTGCTTTTCATATCTGCTGAGCAAGACATTTTTGTATAATTGTCCGTAAGCTTCTGTCGTGCATTATTTTATCATCAAAAGAAATAATAATAATTAAAATGATGAGTTTTAGATATACATTTGTTTTTAACTTCGTTTTTTTCCCATTGTTGCAATGTTTCGCGAATAAACGAGAGAGAAAAAAACATGAGTAGAACAAGCAATTAGTAGATGACTTAAAGAGCACCTATTTATCTTAATTATTTCTCATAAATATATCCATCTATATATAGTCCGAATGATGAAAACTCTGTATGTTCCGTGATCTAATATTTCTTTCTAATTAACATAATGAAAAGCTAAACGCCAGATGGATTTTAATTATTTAGATTCATAAATTTAAAGAACAACTAAGACATCACTTTAGCTGATAGCTTTCATATTGATCTAGTGAAGTCAACAAAATAGCTGCTTGCTTTTATTTGAGGAACATGCGAAATATTGTTATGGAAATTAAAAAGCTTCTTATGATTAGGTTCTAACAAGACAAAATAAGAAATATCTTGCTAGAAATAATCTGTAAAATGAATTTGCACTTGTAGTTGTAGAACAATTGATCTGAAGAAGGCGAAAGCAAAACTTACACTGATTAAACACATTCCATTTAAGAGAGAATGGATATTCATATTTTTCGAAAATATTCTTAAAAAAAAAACATCATTCTAAGTGTCAGAAAACGATGTTATCTAATAGAGTAAAAATAAGTAGCTTATTCAAATTAATATTCTTTAAATATCAAGTAGCATCTGAAAATTTTTTTTTTCTTCTTCCTAACATACAGCGTTCCCTGGAGTCGAAGAGTATGTTGTTTGAGGTTGATTTGATTTAGAACAACTGTTTTATGTAGAATGCTCGTTTCTATTGACGAGTGACATTATGCATACTAGCGAATACTTAGTGGGCGAATTTATTGTTTATGCATTGCTGATGTTAAGAAAAGAGAGAAGTACAAATTCTTTTTAAATCACAGTCGAAAGTCTATGGATGCGTCACGTTTGTTAAGCTTAACCATTAAAATAAACGGTTGCTGTTTTTCTTCTTCGTTGGCACGTGGATTATGATTGAGTTATCATATTGTCAAAATAACAGTATTTAAGTTCGCTGAAGGAAAGGCAAATTTTATCAAAAGTGTTTAAATTTAGATAAGTTCAAGGAGGAATAGACTGGAGTCTGATCTTTCGAACACTAAGTTCAACTTGATAGTTTTTGATCCAGTCTTTGTAAATATGTCCCCGGAGGTGCTCGAAGAAGTATTCCGTCTAAAAAAAGCGTCTTAAGATATAGACCATGGTTTAATTTGATTCGAAGTAGATAAAGAGCACTTTCATAAATTAGTGCATCATTTATTGAAAAGCACTGAGCTTTAGATCCTTATTAAGCGAAGAAAACAGCTATGTCATACATTTTCGAACAAAAAACGAATTATGCATATGGAATGAAATTTCAATGAGTGTTTCCGACAGGCATATGAGCGAGGGTGTGACCCTTGTTTACTAAAATATCTCCCTGTCAGATCAAGCTAATCGTCATATCGTCTTCCCAATGGTATTTTGGCAATTCACAACATTTTGAATGCACCACTTTCGAGATCGATTTTTCTGAGGGTTTAAACGAGTGTATGAAATTGTTGTAATCCGGATGGTTTTCTAATCGGATTTTTTTCCATAATTAGTCGCTCCGTAATACATGTCGTCGTAGTATGATTACTACAAGCATGTTAGGAATATCAATTACGACATGATTTTCTAAGCGTTGAGAAATAAAACGTGACTTGACACATTATAATTCAAAGAATTGAATTATCGTTAATATTTGTTCATTCATTCTATCAACAAATAAAGATATCGTTTTCCACATCATTGTTTGCCCTTTATCTATTGAATAAGATGTACAAAACCTATGAAAGACGTTTTTTTTAAGTTTCATTATAAAGAAAATTTAAGATCGTCTCTTTGACGAACTACAAAAACTTAAAATTCTATGTTATATTCCAGACCGGAATGTCTAGTCACTGCTAATTTCTATATCCCTTTGCAGAGTATTTCCGAGTACATTGACCCATGAAAAACTCGCATCGCTGATAATTTTAAGTAAAATGCCATAAGTGTCATTGATTGATCCATTCGTGATAATCTAAAAGTCACACATGGATTGTGCAGGAGCGCAACTTATTGTAGGTGGGAAGTTAGAATTCGTGCTTTTCTTCTCAAATTTGTTCAAACAATGCATTATGTGTTGATTACAACTCAAAGTATGAAGTTCAATTCTACTTTTAATAAAAATTTTCTTATAAACACATGTATGAGCACCCATTGATCATGACAATTAAATTCGCAACCAAATAACTCCCTCTAGATTTTCTTTGTGCTACATATTTTTCATTCATTCAAATATTTTATCGCATTTACGAAATTATTTAATTGCTTGACCGTTTTTATATAAATATATGCAATTATAATCGTCTAACGAGGATGTCAATACAAGCGGAAAACAAAAAATAGCTATGCAAATTCGTATGCTTGTGGTTTATGTGCACCAGCACAGGCTTGTAGCGTTGCTATAATATTATCTTCAGACAGTTCTTCTTGAGCATTAGCATATATCTGAATATGATAACCGTTAAAAAGTCGTTCAAAATCATGTTTATGCATAGATGCACGAGCAGCACGTAATGTTGGCTAAGTGAAAACGAATATTCTAATATTAAAAACAACAACAACCACATAAAAATATTCTCACCACAGCGACGCCAACGTAATTAATATATACAAATTTTGCTCGTTGGCTTCCATAGTCATCGACTGCTCGAACACGAATGACGCCAACATAAATTTGATTGTCTTTTAATTTTTTTCTCATTTCATTCAATCCGCCCGATCCTTTGCCACACAGTATAATTTCACCATTATCACCATAAGTCAATAGAACCCTATAGAAAAACGAATGGCATTTATCTCAGGTATTAATTTGCTGTGAATTCATACCAATTAGTTTCTGCTGCATCATTTCGAACATCTTGCCAAGCTTGTTGAATTTCTTCGCTACTTAAATCAACTGTACGTTTTAATGCTGCCATAGACAACCTGTACAAATAAAAAATATCGGCGTTATTTTGTTTGGTAGCATCAATGAGTCATAGAATTAACAGAAGGAAAAAACGGATGGAGAATAATCTGGTGCGCCTTGCATTACATCCAAAATAGATAACCTTTGTTGCCTCCTTATTTGGCGTATGATCATTGCTTAGGCCGGATAGAACGAAGAAAAAAGAGAATAGAAACGCAGAAATAAGCATCATCAGAAATCTTTGATTGATATCGTAGCTAATAGTAGTGCATTGTGTCATATCATTCATCTGGGTTTCATGATGACATCTGCCATGGGCTGCATATACATTTTATTTGAATATTAAGAAAAAAACAGTAATGAATGAGAAAATGGGCCAATAAATTCTTCCAAACGCAATTGTTTTACCGTATAAATATTAGATGGCATTTATGCAATAAGAAGTTCCAATAGAACAATTCATTATGATTTATTGACTCGTATCATACTATTAATAGAGCGTAGTATGAAGAGAGAGGTACGAAATTTTCATTTTCAACAAGATGAATCAACTAGTTAATCAGGACCATGTCGGGTGCTGTGTATCGCATCACAAGGAAAGGCATTCTGGGTCAAATCAGATGACAACCTGCTGAAATCGAATGTGCTGACAGTAGAACCAACAAATGTTATTTTTCTCTTCTAATAGGTTTTGTATTTGTCTAGTTCTATACAACATTATAAAATAGACGTCTGTTACTTCACAATAAAACATAGAGATAATCACAGAAGATACTTTTTGACTTTTCACTAGTAGATTTGCGTGAAAAGTCTCGCGATAAGAATTTATTTCCTGTTAATGGAATCGTCTCTTCGATTTCTATTATCAAAAACAAAATTCCACAAAAACAACGTTTTACAATTCTTTGTCTTCACCTTACAAACAAAGAATTCCATGAACAGTTAAACAATAACAGAATTAATTTTACTACATAATAGCCTATTTAAGAATCATTTGATATTAAGTATTTTGATGCGCCATTATAATGAGCTTGAAATTTTGCATAAGCAGTTTTTGAAAATAGACATTTTAAATGTATAAATTGTGGATCATCCTCATCCACAATCATATTTTCAATTGTGCATTGATTACCATTAGCAAGTACTTGGTACAATTGTCCTCCTTGTAATACACGATATTCACACGTAACACGATCACTTGCAATCATAAGTTTTTTTTCTAATACATCAATAAGTTGGTCAAGACCCTGACCAGTTTTACATGAAATATATAGCCGATTATTATTATCTGGTATTTCTTGTTTTGAAATCGCTTTATCGTCATCTTCTTGATCGAATAGATCATATTTATTGAAAACAGTAATCATCGAATCAAGTTTTGACGAAGGAATATCGAGTTCACGTAACGTTTGCATTACTGTTTTATGCTGTACAATGTAATCCGGATGGCTAATATCACAAACATGAATTAATAAATGAGCGTCTATCGCATCGTTTAGTGTTGCACGAAAAGCTTCAATTAATGTTGTTGGAATATCGGCTATATGAATACTAGAAAAACTATCAATATCTATTCGATTAATTAACCGTTATTTACCAATGAAACCAACTGTATCGACATAGAGTAAATTTAATGCATTTGGTAAAACGCCAGCATGTGTAGTTACATCTATCGAAGAACAAATCCGAAAGTTACGCAATATTTTTCTGTGGCGAGGAGCAGACCTCTGTATTTACTATTTGGGTACAACTCATATATTACCTAGTGTAGCGAATAATTGATTTTTTGGTTGTAATGAAGCATCTTTTGTTAACGCTTTAATTAATGATGTTTTTCCAGAATTTGTATATCCGACAACAGCAACAGTAGGTATATCAATGCTTAGACGACGTTTTTTTATTAACTTTCGATGTTGTTCAAGTTTAACAACTTCAGCACGAAGATTTCGTTCACGATCCTTTGAAATCAAACAACTGGAAATTTCTGTATTGTTTATATTAATTCTTACTTTAAATAATTCCGAATCATTTTTACGGTATCGCAATAATGGAATTTCAGCTAGAGCAACCTGTAATTTTGCTGCGCCGCTTTGTGCATGATTTTTAAAAATCTATTCAATAGAATCGTTTTTGTTTTTTGAAAAGCAAAAAAGAGAAAGCTTCTACTTGAAGCACAATTGAATATCGATCATAAATAGGCACACAAAATTTCTCGGCAAGCCCATCGATTTGTACAAGTGAAAGACGATCAATCGAAACAAAAGCAGCTGTTGCTCGACATTCATGAATTTCTTCGGCTATTTTTTCAACATTACCCTTACCATAGAGATAACGTTGCGTACCACTGGTTTTCAATGTATATATTCCATGACCAACAACACGCCATTTATCTAACGTTTCAATCAGTGATACGGATTCTGCCAGTTGTAATTGTGCTGTTGTTGACTGGCGACCACGAGCTTTAAATTTCATCGATGGCTGAATAATAAACACACGATGACCCGTCGAACGTATGTGAAGTAACGCAGATGACATGGAAGTAAATTCATTGTCATTAATAAGACTTTGTAAATGACGATCAACAAATTCTTTTGTGCACAGTCGAGACGTACGCGAAAATGTTCGAATAGAAGATTTTATGCACGATAGATGTTTAAAGACTTGTTTGAATAACATTTTTGTATTTAATCTGCAAGCTGAGTTTCTCGAAATTAGTGATGCTCATAAAACACTTCTTCTTCGTTTCCTTTTTTACTATTATTTCTCAAATAAAATATTTGCACCATTATTGGTTCGTATTGTAACCACCAATTTAGTCATGTCCTGTGATAGACTATTGAGGTGTCGCTGTTTAACGTTATTTTACTATTTTTTTCTTTATTTAAAATGTTATCTTATCGTTGGTTACTTTATTTTTATTTTTTACTTTAAAGGTCACCGCTCGGCATTCTTGTTTTTTTCTCTTGTGAATCTTTAAAACATGATTGAAATTTATACGGTAGATGCATTCACAGATGAGATATTCAAAGGCAATCCAGCTGCTGTGTGTACTTCTTTTCGAGATGTATCCTCTACGACGGATCTGGATGGATTGTTTCAAAAAATAGCTGCTGAGATGAATCTACCTGAAACAGCTTTTATTACTCAAGCTAAAAATTCACCTTCAAATAAACGATATTTCATTCAATGGTTTACACCAACGGATGAGGTGAATATATGTGGTCATGCAACATTAGCAACAGCTCATGTTCTTTTCGAGCGAATTTTAAACGATTCTTTGGTCACCGAATTAATTTTTGAAACGAAATATGTTGGAGAATTAAAAGTTGGAAAAACTACTAAGCAAGATCAACTAGAACTTAATTTTCCTATGGGCGATCCTCAACCGATTGAATTTGATAAACAAATATTAGATCAATTAAAATCAAAATTAAGCATATCAACACAGGAAATTTTAGCTACTCAACTGTGTAAACGAACTAAATATCTTTTAGTTCATCTTTCAAGTCTCGATGATAATATAAAAGCACAGGAAACTCTTACTGAAATCGATTTTGGTGAAAACATAAATCCATTTATATGTGGTACTATTGTTACAAGTACTTCAACGACGAGTGACTTTGTTTCTCGGTTTTTCTCTCCATGGCTTGGTGTCCTTGAAGATCCAGTTTGCGGTAGTGCTCATACAGTATTGGCTGTGTATTGGTCTCGAATATTAAATAATAAATCAATTCTTCATGCTTATCAAAAAAGTAGCCGAGGTGGTTATGTTGATTGTGAATTAGATGAAATTAATCAACGTGTTCTGCTACGAGGATCAGCTATAATTGTATTGCATGGTCAACTTTTTCTTCAACAAGATCAATTAGATTTTTTGAAAAAAAAATAAATCTTATTAAAAATTGATTCATTAAAAGAGTTCGATTTCCACACGAATATCGTACGAGAGAGCATTTTAAACTAATTCTAAGATCAAAATTAGAAACGATCATGCTCATCACTAGATATTAGCAGAAATATTAATTGTAAAAGACGCAATAGTATATTGGTGTTCGCAGAGTATGAAATATCATATATCGCTTTTCATTATACATGTAGCAAGCAGCAGGAAGGAGTGGTCACGTGAGAATGATAAATTAAAAAAATGAAACTCACTAATCAAACAGTGACAGAAAGAAATATTGATATTTAAAGCATTCTATACTGACAGTTTCACGCATCAACGATCACAAGTACGATTAAAATGCGTGCGTCTTTCATATTCTTCTTTATATTTCATTTTCGTTTAAAGCCAACGCTTGCAAGATCAAAAACATATTATTCATTGCCGAACTGTAACTATTCATCGTTTATGCCTATTCTAAAACGAAGTTAAATACAACATGTTGTTCGATTAGTACTAACGAATGGACAAAAATAATACCTCCAGAAAATTTTTTTAGTGAGATTACCATTGCAGATAGTTTTTGCACCTAGAGCACCATTGGCATAGCAACACGTCAAGATAAAAGCTTATCAGAAGAACTTGATTTTGGAATAATGTATTTCGATATAAGATGCCGACCTGTAAAAATGATGTGTTTCAAATACAACATGGGATTATTCTGGTAAATATGAATTTCGATGATACTCAAAACGTGTTTAATTGTAGACCCCAATGAATTTATTTTGGCATTGGTAAAACAAGAATATAAACCTGTAAACAATATAAAATCTCTTGGAACAGTTACGATGTCCTATATTAATAAATTAAAAGACTATTGATATCCCAA